AAGGAAGGAAGGAAGGAAGGAAGGAAGGAAGGAAGGAAGGAAGGAAGGAAGGAGGATAAATGGGCTTCATGGCCTGCTCAGACACTGCCCTGAAACATCTGGCCAGCCACTACTGAAAATGAAGTGCTGGATTACACAGACTGCCTGAGACACCTACATTCAAATTCTTACGTTCTTACATTCAAAATTTAAATTTAAAAATGAAAAATGAAAAATTCTTACATTCAAAGCCTGCCCTAATAGCAGCGTGCTGATTGGGCCCGCTCCTGGAAGCACGAGGGCTGCTTCCTGATCTGGAGCACATTCATTGGCTTCGTGTCATGAGCTCCTCGAGTGCCTGATCTCGGTGGTTTTCACACAACAGGAGGACCTCTTTGATGTCCGCTTGTTGGAAACCCATATCGTTGAACTGTGCTAAGAGGCGAAGGAATTCTGCTGCCTGCCGTGGGAAGAAAGCACAGGAAAAACAAGACTGTCTGTGGGAATGGGCAGTGCACTTCCGTGAATGCCCTGAAACTCCCATGAGAAACAGACCCAGTTTTATAAAATCATGGGGACTAGAGCCTTCAGTATTCAGAATAACAGAATATGACACATGAGGCTGCCAAGAATACCAATCTGTATTGAAATGCCAGTTGCCCGACAACACCAGTTTTTTATGAACAGGGAACTGATCTGTATCATCGGTGAGCCATGAATAATTCTAAAGCAAGTATGGAAAAACATCAGCCAGCATGGCCAGAAGTAAGAGATGCTGGCAACTGGGTTTCAGCAACTAGGGCTGTGCCCCCCACCCCAAATATCCTGCACTGTATTTCTAGCCTTCGCAGGAAAAAGAACCTGCTTTCAACCGAGGGGCGTCTCCAAACCGTTACCTCTCTAACCATCTGCAGCCTCCCTGGCTTCTCACACTTCCATTACATTTGGAGGACGTCCTCTCATGGTGCTTCTGCATTTTGAGAAGTGCGGGCAGCCAGAGAGGCTGCAGAATGATGGAAAGATGCAAGATAAAAAAAACACCCCCACCAGTCGAAATCGCCTCCAATACTTCCTAATAATACTACCTTTAGAACTTCATCAAGTGGCATTGAAAGCCAGCCTCAAGCCCTTTGTCCGTGAGCTGGAAAAAGGGCCTCACTGCCTTCCCATCCTGTGGCAAAGGCCCGTGCTCCCCAAATCTTTGCTTTCCAATTCCTCCCAACGGTAGTGAGGCCAGAGGCTGATGTTCTCGCATCTCCCCATGTAACCTTTAAAAAAGAGTGCTTCACGCTTGGTTCTTTTCTATTTCTGTTTCCTTTCTTTTTTACATGTGACACTTAGTTTTGGGATCATTTTTGTCGCGAGCCATTTTGGCGTTGCCCTTGTCAGAACAGAATGATAAAAGAAACTATGCGGATGGGGACAGCCAATTTCTCCCGTGCGTTTTACTGATACCGCACGGTAAGCAAAGGCAGTGGATCGCTTTTCCACAAAGTTGGAGTCTGACCTTTTTCTCTGAGTTCTGGAACATTTCCATCGCTTCCACAACCTGTGCCTCTTCATATCCCTGTTTCAGAAGTTTATCACAGGCACTGAGATAACTGAGAAACTGTTATGGGAGAGCAGAAGAGATGGGGACAGGGTTAATTAACCAAGCACAGTTTCAGCAAAAAGGCATCAACACATCTCCTGAATTAGGACCTTTCCCAACCACCCTCCCTTACTGTGTAGAACCAATGGTTTGATCTAGAACCCCAGGAACATCACTTGCAAAGGGAATCAGGATCTTTCCTAACCACCTGCCGTTACTGTGTAGAACCAATGGTTTGTTCTAGAACCCTGGGAAGATCACTGGCAAAGGGAATCAGGATATTTTCCAACCAACCTCCCTTACTGAGTAGAACCAATAGTTTGATCTAGAACCCTGGGAAGATCACTGGCAAAGGGAATCAGGATCTTTCCCAACCACCCTCCCGTACTGTGTAGAACCAATGGTTTGATCTAGAACCCTGGGAAGATCACTTGCAAAGGGAATCAGGATTTTTCCCAACCACCTGCCATTACTGTGTAGAACCAATGGTTTGTTCTAGAACCCTGGGAAGATCACTTGCAAAGGGAATCAGGATATTTTCCAACCAACCTCCCTTACTGTGTAGAATCAATAGTTTGATCTAGAACCCTGGGAAGATCGCTGGCAAAGATCCATGCAACCAAACTAGTCATGGCAGCCTTCCCCACCCAAGTAATTCTATTGGTCACAACAGGCTGAGGATAATAGGAATCACGGTGCAATGTATCAGGATTAAGTTAATTAAGTTAATTAACCAAGCTGACTATTAACCAAGCTGACCAGGCCTGGGAAGCAGGGAAAAGGTGGCCAAGATTTCAGTCACAGGAAGACAGATTCCAGTTGAATGTTAGGGGGGAAAAAACCCTTCTGGAGTGTAAAAGCAGTTCAACCGTGAAAGCAGTGACCTACAGAAATGATAGCGTCCCCTTTTTTGCACGCGTATCTTTTAAGATTACTTACATGTGGATTCTCCCAATGAGCAGAACTTTCCTAATTAGTTCCTTTCAACTCTACGATTCCATCAAAACTCCTCATTTTCCAGAAATCTTGTTTGCAGTTCATGGACGGCCTAACTTTCCTCATGATATTTTTATGAATACAAAACGAGAAAGGGAGAACTAGATCCACTGTGCTGAGCTCTTCTCAAGAAAAGGAGGGATAACCGCTCTCTCTGCAAAACCATCTGCCTTCCGCTGGAGTACGTGGCTTTGATTAAAAAAAGGATTTCTCCTAGACTAACTCTAAAAAGGCTAGTCTACGTGCAAAGCCACTGCTGTGGAGAAAGGAGAGCCTATGGGTAGGGGCCATCCACAAGAGTTTTGGGAGCAGGTGCAGAATCACCATGTCACCCTGAACAACTATTTTGCCAACACCACTAGTGATCAGTTTCACATCTTTTTTTTTTTAACTATTTCCCTGTAGTTCCTATGCAACCATGCTTGTATGTATGTATACATAAAACACTTCTTTCCTAGAACCTTTTTTATTTTTTTGCCTTCAAGTCAGTGTAGACTCCTGGTAACTGCCTTGGCTAGTCCCTATGGTTTTCTTGGCAAAATATTTGGAAGTGGTTTGCCCTGGCCTTCTTCCTAGGGCTAAGAGAGAGTGACTTAGAACAATTCTTGGAATAATACATCATGCATATGTTTGCAATTGTCACCTAATACATTTCTTTCTGGGCTTCGAGGTGTTATAAGTCTCTTTTGTCTTTTCTTTTTAGCAGAAAAAAAGGATAGAACACATTTCAAATCTATAATTTTGAATGCAGAATATCAGAACCAGCAGAATCAGGATTAAGTTCCAGCAATTCATGGCCGGCATGGAGAAACAATTTCTAAGCCTTGTACTTCTGAAGAGAAGTTCCAACATTTCACCATCAGGGTCACATAAAATAAGCATTTGGCCGTCACATAAAAATTTAAGGACTAAGACAATAATAGGAAACCTGCAGAAGCTTTATAAACGGTTCAGTACTTTCACGATAGCTGAATGAGCTTGGCTATTCATACATATAGGCTGTGTTCATTTGTCAAATTAATCTTCAGTTGTTGAATAAGCCATGTTTGGCAAGGTTCACCCAGATGAACTAAGGTGACTAATAAAATATGCTTACTGCAGTGTGAGGAATCTGAAGACCAGCATTTTAGCGGATACAAATCTAATCGTTGCTTCCTGAAACACACAAACTCTTTACAGATTCCAGCCAGCTTTTCAGTGTGCAAAGATCTCAGAAGAGGAGAAGGCTGCTTATCTGATATATGTTCTTCCAGACCTAGGAAAGCCTTGGGAGAGTACGTCGGGGCCAGGCAGAAGTCCCCTTATAGCTCTGAGAAATGGACTGTCATGGAAAAGCCTAGAATTATTTCTGACTTTATTCTTGGAGAACTGACTGCATATTTCCCCAAAGCATTTCCCTTTAAATACCACAGGGGCCATTCATCCCTTGGGAATCCGTGATTGGCGAGAAAAGTTCTCCATCCTATTTTTAAAATCCCGTTTTCACGGAAACAGTACGTTCCTCCAGGTCTGAAATGGGTACGGCTGCTGAAGGGACCCAGTGATGGGCCCTGAGATCTTTGCTTGCCCCCAACTCCACCCTCCGTCCCAGAATTGGTGGATAAGTTGTGGGAAAGCTTCAATGTCTCGTTTTGGGAATTAAAAAGCAGCTTTAAACTCAATGGCTGTTGAGGGGGCCAAACATATCCTGGAGGGCAAATTAAACCTGGTAAAAATAAATAGCTTCCAATTATGAACCACGGAAGATAAATGATGTTGATATTGGAGAGGAATAATTATTAGAAAGCTAAGGAGAATTTTAAAAGATCCAAAGTGTACAAACTGTTAGGTTAGCTTAGCTTTTTCCCCTTTAATTGCAATCTTGCTTTTCTATTTGTTTTGGATTGAGTGGGACTGGGATCATTTTGAGGGGTGTGCAAATTGTTCCGAGGTCAATATGTTCAGACCTTGGAACGTTTCCCTTTTGCTACATGACAGCGGAATTAAAAATGAAACTGTCAGTTCTGTAACGACGCATTTGGTGAAATTTCTGCACTTCTAGAAGATGTTCATATAAATAGTAAGTATAGATGTAAATCATATGGACACAAAGATGACTCTGGCAAAAGTGATATTTCAGGAATCTGACTTTGGATCCATATTGTAAATATTGTGAAAACCTATCCCCTTGAATGAAAGGCCATCAACTGTCTTCACTAGGAATAAGACCTAGGTCCTAGCTCCATTTTTCCAGCCCAGAGCCTCCCAAAATGTCTATTAACTGTGCTTTTGACTATACTATTTGTTTTATGTTGTTTATTTTATTGTTGGTCACATATTGATTGTTGCAAACCACCACAACCCAGCTTGGCTGGGGGTTGTGCAGTATGTATGTTTGGTAAATACAGACATACATAAAATTGCACTACCAAAATGGAATGGCATATTGATGACTTTTGATCTCTCAGGTTTGCTATGCTTCGGGTGACAAACCAGAAGTGCCTGCAGGAAGGTGTCAAAAAAATCAAGATGGCAGCCATGACCATGCCATCAAAGCCCCACTTTCTTTTTGCATGTGTTGCCCATGTAGCATATATAAAAATGGGCAGAGATTCAGTTGTGTGGTCAAAGTTGACACTTTAACTTTGTTGACTACCCCCCCAGTTTCTTTCTTTCTTTGTTTAAAACATTTACATAGCCGCCCATCTTACATCAAACTCTGGGTAGCTCCCAACCAACATGGCATTATATCTCTACCAGGCTTAATGTATTATTATTATTGCTGTTGTTATTGTTATTATTTTGAAGCAGCTTAGATTTTGTCTCCAGATAAGGCTGAGGAACTGACTACCCCAAGTGAGTTTCCATGACTAAGAGCTGCTCCACCAAATCTTTCAAGAATGGGCCAGCAATGTTGTCCCTGGCACTTCCAGGGTCATCCCATCAGAGGCCACATTCCCATAGGGCCTCAGAGCCCTCTCCTCAAAATGTGACACCATAGGAAAGGCATCCTCAACTCTGCCCTAAAGCCACATGCAAACCTCAGCCCAATTTCAAAGGTCTTTGGCACAACACCAGTTTGCAAAAAAAGAGAGGTCTGTCTCTCCAGAATCTGTTTGGGCAAGGAAGCGGGTACTAGAGAGAGAAATACATGAAAGGGATGGTCCCACGTGACTCATAATGTAGTCTTTATTTCTGAGGAAGTTCTTCATCTGGAAGCACCTTCCTCAGCTTTGAAGGAGTAATTTTGCCCACTTCTATCTGGAGATGCGAAACTGAACCCCAGATCCTTTGCCGATCTTCATTCTTTCCACTTTTGACAATCAGGTGCACCCATGACACCCTGATAGAATCAGTGCTGCATCACCTAGAGGGGACACTTCTTCTCTTGCATTGTCAGCCTCACAAGGCAAATCAGACAGGAATCACAACCAGATGAGCTAATTCTACTTTATTGTAAGGCTACACTGACAGAATCTTGCAAGTCTGAAAGTACAATTCTCCCCCCACCTCCTTTACAGCCTGAGAAACTAGGGAGGGTCCCTTCTGAGCCTCTTGCCTTACCCATTATCCAGCTGCAGGCTATGCTGTCTCTTATCTGACCACTCCCTTGGCAGCATCTCTTGGCCCCGTCTCCCAAGGTCTTTCCCACATACCATCACATGCACCAACAAAGATTTTCCCTGTGTGGGAAGAGAACCAATCCTAGCTCTGCCTGACCTGTCCTAAGCTTTGTCTCCCGGTCTTCTGCAGAGCAAGGATTGCTCGCCGTATTGGATAACCCAAGGCTAAAACTGGCTCGATGAGGTCACGCTCCTCTTGGCTGAGCACCGAGAGCAGATCAGCTGTAGAGTCCGGATGAGCTCTGTGGGGACTAAGAGGTCGCTGGGCCCACGGAGGGGGTGGGAGGCAGGAATATGGGCTGAGAGACTGAAAAAATAATAATAATAAGAGCATTTAATGTCAGTTAATTTGCAGGAATCTTTATTAGCAATCTGGTCCTTCATGAGTCTTTTTAAAAGGATTTTGTTCTCCTCTGGAATACGTGCAGGAATTGTGAGTGCGCCAAGGCACCGCTTCAAGTCTTTGTCATATTAAAATTAATTTAGCCCAATCATAGGGCGAGCCAGGAAAATTCCCATAGTTAGAACAATCTCCCCCACCCCCATACCTATTAACATCCTGTTTTCATTTCTGTTTTTCTGAAGCTTATTCAGAACCATCCTGATTTGGAATAAAAATTATTATGTTTCCAGGGAGATGACAAAGGCTGGTAGAACAACAACGAAGACAAGAAGGTTGTGTCCTGGGAAATAAAACACTGAAACTTTTAACTTAAAATGACATCTTCCTATCATTCAAAGATATGCTTATGTGCTGTTGAGAAGCTTTTCCCTTGGTGCAGAGTTTAGATGGTGGTGAAGACCTTAAAACAGTCATGAAAGGTCTGTAAGCATAGCTCAAACCCTCTCTTAGGCTGTCTCTGGCTATGATAGTCATGGTACATTATGTCCTGAATTTGGTGCATCAGAATATTAGTTGCTGGAAATACATAAATGGGAAGGAGGATTCTGCTCTTGGTCTGTGCGTGGACTGTCTGGTGGACTTCTGATTTCAT